CGCCTTCCAGCCGGCCGAATAAGAAGCAGTGGTTGTGGTCATTTCCCTGGTGCCAAGCTTAACGAAAATGACCACAACCGCTGCTTTGTTTCTGCTGGCTGGAAGGCGGCAACAAAAGAAAAGCAGTGGCTATGGTCGTTTTCACGTCCGGTAGAGGAGGGCGAGGAGGAAGAGGAGTTCGTAAAATATTCACGGATGCACACCATGTGGCAAAGAGAAGGATGGCATGGAGGAAGAGGGAAGGCTATGAGAAGGATGAGCAAAAGTAGGAACAAGGAAAGGCGACACCAACACCAACAGGGCGAGGAGATGCGCGGAGGCAAAGGGGGTCTCCCTGGTGGTGTGGTCCCCCCCTCTCGCTCGAGACATCCCCAGTCTCATTGTGGACCTCCTCGCTGGAGGTGGGCCCCCTGGCGGTGTTGGTATCGCTTCTCATCCCTACGAAAAAGAAGACAAGTAAAGGATGATAATCAGGACGAGGAGCAGGAAGAATCACTTCCGTTCCCTCCCCCCGTGTCGGGCTTCGGGTCTCTTGGGGCAGTCTCATGCCGCGAGGGCGTCAGGAGAGCCCCCACGGAGGCCCAGAAAGATCCACGAGTCCGAGACTACTAAGCTGCAGGTCTTTCACTGATGTGCCAGGAAGCTGGGCAACGAAAACATTCCATTCGCCATAATGCTTTCTGGGGTCGACGGAATGGCGCAAGCCTCTCGAGTCAATGAGTCTTGCCTGGGGGGCCTCGGGAGCACTCTCATGAGACCCTCTGGGAACCTTCTTCGATGTTCTCTCGAGGCTTGGGTGTATCATGGCGGTCGTGGAGCAGGCCCCCCAAACAGTCCCCAAGGCTCCGACACGAGTCCCAGGATGCTCCCAGAGACTCCTCTTGGGGCCCTCCGGGCCTGCTTGTAAGCCTCGCGAAGCTTTTTGGGCCTGTCATGGGGCGATTTGGGAGTCTCTTGGGCTGCAGTGGACGCTCTGAAAACAGAGCGGGCGGGAACGTTGAGGAGTGGCAGGATACGAAGTGCTGCCTGGTAGAGTTTCTGTAGCAGGGTTGTTATAAAAAAACAGCGTTCGGTGAGTCGTGCTGATTTCTCGGATCGGCACTAGAACCTCTCCCTGGCGCGCGGAGCGCGCCAGGGGCGGCGCCAGAGTCGCCGCCAGGGGGGTCCAGAGCCGATCCAAGACATCAGCGCGGAGCTCCCTAAAGTTTGAGTGCTTCTGCCAGTACTATGAAGGGGAACTGGAACACACAAATAAATACACACAAATAACAATATCCCCCATATTTTCCCATATTTTCTGGGTTTTTGTCTTCCCCACCACTTCCCATATTTTTGCATATTTTCCTGGGAGTCGACGATTAATTGTGTCTGTGTGTTTCTTTCCCTCCTGATACTAGCTCCTCGATGGCAGGCCTCTTGTAGGTCCTTTGGGGACCACCCGATGCCACCCCCTCTCGTCTTGTGGATGCCATGACAGTGGACACCCGAACAATTCGATCATTGAATTACACATGTGCTCAAAATGCCTGAACATGTTCAGGACATGTTGTTGTACATGTTTAAGACATGTGTAAACCATTGCTTTGGCCATCTGGAAAGCAGTTGGCAACATGCTCCCCCCTTCGAGAGGCTCCCTTGGCCGCCCGGCGCGACCCCCTGGGTCCCCTGCGGCCCTGTAGCGCCTTCCAGGACGGCGGCCCGGAAGGGCACGCGGGGCGATCAAGGCAAGCCCAGCAGATACCTCGAGAAGCGCTCCAGCAGCGCCCCAAAGATCCCAAGGTGGCACCAGCGAGATCCCCCCAAAGGCTGCCAAGACACCCAGGAGGAGGCCAAGAGGCCCTCCAGGAATGCCAAAATCATTCCAACACCTGAAGCAACAAGTATGGGTGAATACAGCGTGCTTGCCAACCATCGTGGAAGGCCTTGGGGCCGCCTTGGGGATCCTCGGGACCATCCTTCACAAACCTAGTCGTGGAGGCATATTGAAAGCCTCCTAGGGTAGTTTGGGAGCCTCTCGGGGCCTCTTGGGGGGGGTGTCTTCGGGACCTCTGGAGGGCTTCTGGGGAGACTCTTGGGGGACTCTTGAAGGCACCTTGGGAGTCTCGGAGGCCATCGTTGGGGGGAAGGAAGGGCTCTGAAAGCCCCGTCGCTTTCACCCGCTTGGGCGCGTTTTGAGGCCCTCTTCAAAATTTCTTGGGTCGTCCTGGGGGGCCTCCTGGGCGATCGCAGGGCCCTTTGGGGCGTAGTGGCGCCATCTTGGGGTGGGGGCCTCTTGAGCCGTCTTGGGGCGATCTTTGGGGACCCTTTCACTATCTCGGAGCGATGGACGCCCGCACAGGCAATACTGCCCAAACCCTTAGAACACATCAGGTGGATCAATCAATGTTGCTTCTCGGGGCCGTCTTGGGGACGTTCTGGTGGCCCAGTCGGGGCGTCTTGGAGGCCTCTTGGGCCGTTTGAGACGCCTCTTGGGCTGCCTGAGGCCCCTCGTAGGCCGGGGCCGTCTTGGGCCGCGTTGACGGCTGTCTGGTCGCTCTCGGAGGCGATGTTTGGGGCCCCCAGCACTCACATGTGGTTGGGGTCCCGCCCCAGGGGCCCGATATGTATGTGTGTATACACACATACGGATTCAAGTATATGTACAAGATACATTGTTCTGTACACATATACACACATATGCAAACACACTTGTGACACATAGGTCACAAGTGTGTGTGTGTATGTGTGTGTGTGTGTGCGCATTCGGTCGCGATCCGACGAGACGTTGAGAAGGGCCCCCGCGGACATGGAAAGGAAGAGGCTGAGGCATAGCTGGGTAAATGGGAAACAGTTTACAAACCAACATGTGCTTGAACATCATGGGCAACAAGCACTGCAGTCCACTGTGGTGTTTGAGAAATGTTTGTTCAAATAACAAAGAATCACTCTTGAAGAATGACACACGTAGTTCTCACAATGATGTGTGACAGCATTGGATCACATTGATTTCTTGAAGATGTTGTATTACGCTGTTAGAGATCCGTTGCGTGCTTGCTGGTCCATCTTTTGTCGTCACAGCGTTCCAGCAGGCCCTGGAAGACCCCCAAATTCCACCAAGATAGCCTCGGGGGCCTCAATGAGAGCCCCGAGATGGGCCAAAACAGCGTCAAGACGACGCCTCCTAGAAGGTGGATCCCGCCGTCATCTCCTCTTCTACAATGCCGGAACCAGTGCGTGCGAGAAGGATCCAGGGCCCGACGGCCTTCGGGACCTCGCGAGGCGCACCCGGAGGGCCCCAGGTGCCCCGCGCACGCTCGGCGCTTGTCCGCCCAAACAAGATCCAACACATGCCGCTGGGGAACCTTGCCTCCGCGACAATGTTCAGCGGAGCGCCCGGGAGAGAAGCAAGAGGGTGCGGGCCTTCTTAGAGAAGGCTCAGAAGTCCTCCGGCCTTCTGAGAAGTTCTCTAAGCCGTACCCGAAGACACAGAAAGCTTCTCAGAAGGCGCGAGGGCTTCCGAGAAGTCCCGGCACCTTCTGAGAAGGCCTCCCCCTTCCCATCCCGCTCGCCGCCGAAATGTGCTCCGACTGGGGCCAGTCGGCGGGCGAGTCCCAAGTGATCGCCGTGACCGCCATGGCGGGCCTCTGCGGCGCAGGCGTCGAAAGGCTCTGCGGCCGGGGCTGCCGTGCCCATGGCACCACTCCGCGACACGGGCCGAGGCCCGACCGTCGCTTTCGGCTCGCTCACTGGCGCTGGGGCTCACTCACAGGGCGCCTGCGCGCCGCTGGGCTTCTTCACGGCCGCCTCTGCCCCCAGCGCAGATGTCACCTGGGCCGCCGTCTTCGCGCGCATCATGGTCTCTCTGTGCGCCAGGCGCTTGCGGCTCCCGTCGGCCTCCCGGAGCTTCCTGACGATGTCCTGGCGGGGAAGAAGCCAGAGGGTACCGATGCCGAGACCGCGTCCTTAGACGCAGACATGGGTATGTCCAACAGCAAATGTAATCCAAAACCGACAGCGGCCGCTGTTGGGCCGGCGGCCACACCGACAGCGAAAACGTACAACTCAAAATGATCAGGAGCTGTTGTCGGCCTTCGTACCCACTCTTTCCGTACCCATTGCGCTCGTGCCGACATTCAGGGGAGCATTCGGACAAAGAAATTCGAGGAGAATCCGGCCGTGGCGACGAGGGCTCTCCAGGACGAGCAGCGGCACGAGAATGGCACCCATGCGCCGTAATTACCATCTCCGGACTCCCTGCCCCGCTCCCACGCGGCACGGTGCACAGGTTACTTCGGCTCCAAGGCCTACGACAAGCGATGCACACCATACGGCGCACGTGTCGCCCGCGGAAGCGGGGCTCCGCGCTGCCCCCGGTGGCTCTCGGGCCGCACCGCGGGCCTCCGGCGCCCGTCCCCGCCCCCCCTCGGACGCTCTCGGCAGGGCGCGCGGGCTGCCGGAGGGCATCCCGAGGCCGGAGGAGCCGCGAGCGCCGACGGCAGCGCCAGGGCAGAGAGAGGCCCGAGGAGCTCCGAGGAGGTCCCCAGACGTCCGACGTGGCGCCTCGGTGTTGTTCCCTCCCGAGGCGCTCGTTGACGCTGGGGGGGGGGCCCAAACGGTGCGGTGACCACAGCGCGTGGGAGGCTTTTAAAAAAAGATTCAAGCAGGTTTACTTGCACGGCGTTCGCCCCCCCCCCCCCCCCACCCCCCCCGCTCGCCCCTCTTCAAACGAACACTAGCGGCTCGCTCCAAGTTCAGGCCTCCCACCCGTCCATGCAAGTAACCTTGCCTTAAGTCGGGCCTGTCCCTCTACAGGGGGAATATTCAAAAATAGTATAAAAAAGTCTGGGGACTATTTGGTGAATATAGTTGGGCACCTCTTGAGTACTTTTCGCATATGTTTCATTTTCCGTCCCCAATCCCCCTGTAGGGGGACAGGCCCAACCTAAACCTTGCCCAAAACTTTGCGAACGCTCTGGCGAGTCGTTGGGGGGTCGGCGTTCTCGCACGGGTCTGGGGCTGCTCGGGCCGTCTCCGACGCCGGGGGCCTCCACCGCGCGGTCCGCCACCGCGTACGGGCTTGGGGCCCCGAGTGGACGGCCGCAGGGGCCCCGGCGAGGGCCCCCCGAGGTCGAGAACCAGGAACACACCCGGGCGACGATCCCAAACTCGCCGGAGGCAAGAGCACCACTGCCACCAGCCTTAGGGGGTTACGGTCCCGCCCTCGCGAGCTGGCGGCGCCTCGTCTCGGGCACGCCCCCAGAGGAGTTCCCGGAACGGGGTGCCACCAGCTCGAGGGGAGGGAGCGGACCCCTCCCTGGTGATAGTGGTACTCCTCGCCATCGCTCGGACGTCCGTTCCCTGTGTTATTTTCGGTTTCGTGCGTGGTTTTTTAGCCACATGATCAAGGATGCTCCTATAGATGATCTTCGCCGAAGGAAAAATGCACGCGTCCGAGCGATGCCAAGACTCTTGTCTCTCCTGAACAGCGGGTCCTGCGGGAGATGACGTGGCGACCTCACGCAGTGGCTTGTACGCGGGCAGCCGGCGCGGCACGCCACAGTGGAGACGAGGCCTCTTACGCGCAAAACCTTGCGTGGGCAGCTCACGCGCCAGTGTCGGCGCAGACGGCCCCGTTTTTTGCTTGCACCGCTCATCTAGAGGCCTCCTGGATGGGGTCCGAGTAGCTGGGGTCGAAGGATCGCGCCGCATCGCCAATGCATCGCCGATGTATCGTCGATGCATCGGCGATGCATCGGCGACGTCGGCGACGCATCCGCGACGCCAGCGTGGGGAAAATCGGGCTCCACATCGAGCCGCATCGTCGATGCATCGGCGATGCGGCGCGATCCTTCGACCCCAACTGGCTCGGACCCCACCTGGGACATCTGCTGCCTTGCCCTCTTCGACGCGTTGGATGCCCTTGATCCTTGACCTCCGCGAGGCGCCTGTCGTTCTCGGGGACGCCGTCGGCGATCGCCTTCAGCATGCTGTCCTCGATGGCCGTGGCGGCCGCGCTCGCGGGGCCCACGGGCGGGCACTTCTGCCGCGCGGCCAGAGCCTGGTCCTTCGCGAGGATCTCCTGCCGGGGCGAGGCCGGGGGCGGAGGGGCTGTTCCCTCGGGCATGCCGGCGGCGTCACTCAGTCGGGGCGTTGACCTGCGGAACCCTACATAAGGAACAGGGCCCCTTTTTTCCATACGCTGAACTTCGATTATTTACCATTGAAAACCCAGGGAAAACCCAAGGCAAAATATCAAACAATGAAGGAGCACCGAGCCCCTCCCCAACGAACAGGGTTCCTCCTTCAGCGCCCCGACTGTAATCGGGGCCGAGAGCATGTCCACTGCACAGCGTGGTGTGTCCATCCGCACGCGCAGGCGGCCTGTGGCGGCCCAGGCGCAGGGTGGTCCTGTCGCCCGCAGGACCCGCAGGACAATGATACACCGTGCGTTGTCCAGTGGCGAGTCTGCGAAGCCCGATGTGACAGGGCTCGGAAACCATACTGGTGTATATATATATATATATATATATATACATACGCATCACCGTGACGAAAGTGTCTCTCAATCTGCCTTCGCCAGCAGCGCATCAGCGCGGAATAGCGCGGAGTAGAAACACTCCAACTGCTCCGCGCATGGGCGCATCGCGCTCGATGATTCATTGGGTTTGTCGCGGAATAATGTGCGATCCCGTTCTGGGGTAACGGAGTTCTAAACATTAGGCGGATCGGAAACTACTTCGCCGAATGGCGCAGTCGTCATGTCATGTTAGAAATGGGTAGAGGGATCGGAGATATCATCATCATTGCATATTGTAGAAACTGTTGTCACGGCCGTGTATATACATCGATGCGCGCCCCGCTTAAATTATCGAAAGACCCAACCTTATGCAGTTGTGAGTACCGTCGATGTGGGTATCACCGTCGGTGGATCTCCTTCTGAGGCCACGGAGCGTGTGAAGGGTGTGTCGACATTCGGCGAGGCCGCCATGCGGGCGCTGCCACTGGGACCTGAGGTAGAGCCCCCCATGGGACCACAGAACATGTGAGGAGTGTGCCGAAATGGTGCGGGGCCGCTATGCGAACATCGCCACTGGGACATCAAGCGGAGCTCCCTATGGGGCAACGAAACGTGTGAGGGGTGTTCCGTAATGAGCGTGACGCCCACATGTGAACGTCGCCACGGGAGCCTTCGGTAGAGCCCCCATACGGGGCCGCGAAAAGTGTGAGGGGTGTGCCGAAACAGACGTCGTAATGCCCAGATGCAAACGGCGCCACTGGGGCCTTAGGTGGAACTCCCTATGGGGCCATGAAGCGTGTGAGGGGTGTGCCGAAATCGGTGGGACGGCCACATGCTAGTATGGCCACTGGGGCCTTAGGTCGAGCGCCCTATTGGGCCACGACGCGCGTGAGGGGTGTCTGGGGCCACGAAACGCGTGAGGGTGTGCCGAAATGGGCGGGGAGGCCACATGAGAACATGGCCAGTGGGGCCGTGGGTGGAGCTCCCTCTGGGGCCATGAAACATGCAAGGGGTGTGCCAAAATTGGTGGGGAGGCCACATGCGAACATGGCCACTGAGGCCTTACGTAGGTGGAGCGCTCTCTGGGGCCACGAAACGTGTGATGGTTGTGCCGGAATGGGCGGGGCGGTCACAAGCGAACATGGCCACTGGGGCCTTGGGTGGAGCTCCTAAGGGGCCATGAAACATGTAAGGGGTGTGCCGAAATTGGCGGGGCGGCCACATGCGAACATGGCCACTGGGGCCTGATGCGGAGCTCTCTCTGGGGCCACGGAACGCGTGAGCGGTGTGTCGAAATGGACATGCGGAGGGCAGAAGCAACGACCGGAGGAGGGAGGAGGGATGAGTGAGTGACGCGGGGCGCTGTCTCTTCAAAACGAGGACCCGACACCACAGGATGGCTGGGAAGAACACGGCGGGATGGTCTTGCCTGCTGCACGCACGAATGGCCTTTGGCACGAGGGACCTGTTAGGGGGCCACATGCGAACCCTACCCCTACCCCCCACGATTTCTGAGGGGGAGGGTGGGGTTCACTTCGCTCGGGAGCTCCCGAACGAGGTAAGCCCCACCCTCTCCGTCAGAAATCGTGGGGGGTAGGGGTAGGGTTCGCATGTGGCCCCCTACCTGTGGTGCGCGGCCCCAGGGGGCCGCATCAGGCGGCACACCCAAGCAAGGAGGGGGGTCCAGCGCCGATCCGAGAAATCCGCGCGGACCTCCGAGTTGTTATGTTTATGCCACATTTTGTTCCCCCAAGATCTGCTGTTGGGCATTGTACCCATTCTTTTCGTACCCATGTCGTTCGAGCCGAGCTCTCCTCGCTTGCGTCCGCCGGCCCTACGCCGGCCCTCCGCCGCCCTCCCGCCGAGGCAGAGATGTCCGCAACGCCGGCTCGCTCTGCTGCACGGCGCGAGCATGCCTGGGCCCCTCGGGCCATAGCGCCGCTCGCTGGCGGCCGCTCGGGGGGCTCCGCGCACCCCTCGGAGCGCCCTCGGCGAGGCGCAGCTGCCGGAGAGCATCTCGAGGCTGGGCAGCCTCCGAGAGCCAGCGAAAACGTCCGAAAACCAAACCTCGAGCCTCGAGCCTCGACCCTTCCTGCAACGTCTCTCGTGCGCTTGGTCAGCCGGCCTTCCCTGGCGTGGCGGAGCGGCGACGGCGACGGCGGAGCGGCGGAGGTGACGCGCGTCCTGCGCCTCCAGCAGCACGCGGTCCGCGAGGCGGTCGCTGAGCATCCTGGACGCCCTCACCAGCTTGGGGTGGTCCCTGTCTATCCTTGGGGGGAGGGGGACGAGCACAGACCACCTCGAGTCACGACAAATCACAGCTGACTGTCTGGGGCAGTGTTCGGCCTCTGGGGGCCCTTGCCGGGCCTCGGGGCCGCCGAAGATCGACTCGGGATGAAACGCCAGTCCCAGGGGTGGTCGAGAGGTCGGGGGCCCGTGCCTCCCACAAACCGAGACGCCGGATGTCTGGAAGGGCAGCGGCTGGATGGCCCCTGCCATCACCCGGACGTCCATTCCACGTGCACCCTCGATAGATACTGTTCTGTGCTCAAGATAGCGTGCTGTTCTGTGCTCAGGATAGCGTGCCCTCGATAGCGCCGTGTCGTGCGTGCTGTTCTGTTTCTCGAGGTAGCCCTCGCTGCTTCAAAGGTGGCCCGGATCTTCTGGGGTGCTGGCCTCGCCGAACAGACATGCACACGTCCGAGCGGTGCAGGGCCCTTACGCGAATGGCATGGCCAGATGGGTGGAGGGGAGCAAGAAGGGTGAAGAGGAGGAGGAGGAGGAGGAGGAGGAGGAGGAGGAGGAGGGGTACGTAGGAGGAGGAGGAGGAGGAGGAGGAGGAGGAGGAGGAGGAGGAGGAGGAGGAGGAGGAGAGCATAGGAGGACGACGACGGCAAGGGTGGAGCGGCCATTCAACTCTAATCTGCCCAGACAACTCTAAAGCCCCGATCCGCCGTCCTTCTCTGCGTGCCCCTGATCGGGCACCTGCCTGGGGATCCGCATGCATCGCATCTTCCGCCTGCGAAAACCATTGCGCCTTTGCGGGGGGAGGGGGGGATGGCCCAATCAGCACGATTGTCGCGGAACACCTGGATTTGCCCATGCGGCTGTTGTCTCAGGGCCTGACAGCGCCTTCTCTGCCTCAGCCTGAAGACCACCAGACGGGGAATAACTCCGTCGGATCGAGCGGGGAGCTGGGCCCCAGCGCGCAGCATCGCGCGCAACAGGCCGCTCCAGTCCTCCGCCTCCCTCGCCCCATGCCATGCTCTCCTTCGCTCAGCCTCCTAACCCACCGCCTCGGCCCTCCGCCTCCTCGTCCTCCTCCTCCTGCGCCTCCTCCTCCTCCTGCTGCTGCTCCTCCTGCTGCTGCTGCTCATCCTCCTCCTCCTCCTCGTCCTCCTCCTACTCCTCCTCCTCCTCCTCATCATCATCATCATCCTCCTCCTCCTCCTCCTCATCCTCTTCGTCCCTGTCCTCCTTCTCCTCCCTCTCCCTCTCCCCCTCCTCCTCACCTCCTCCTCCTCCTCCTCGTCCTCGTCTCCTCCTACTCCTCCTCCTCCTCCTCCTCCTCCTCCTCCTCCTCCTCCTCCTCCTCTTCCTCCTGCGCCTCCTCCTCCTCCTCCTCCACCTCTTCCTCCTCCTTGTCCTCCTCCTCCTCTCTCACCTCATCCTCCCTCCTCCTCTTCCGCCTCCTCCTCCTCCTCCTCCTCCTCCTCCCTCCTCCTCCTCCTCATCCTCTACTCCTACTCTCTACTCCCCTCCTCCTCCTCCTCCTCCTCCTCCTCCTCCTCCTCTCCTCCTGCTCCTCCTGCTGCTGCTGCTCCTCCTCCTCCTCTCTCCTCCTCCTCCTCTCCTCCTGCTCCTCCTCCTCCTCTCTCCTCCTCCTCCTCTATCCTCCTCATGCTCCTCCTGCTCTTCTCCTCCTCCGCCGCCTCCTCCTCACCCTCGTCCTCCTCATGCTCATTCTCCCCCTTCTTCTCCTCCCCTCCTCCTCCCTAATCCGCCTCCTCCTAATCCTCCTCCTCCTCGTCCTCCTCCTCCTCCTCCTCCTCCCCCTCCACTCCTCCTCTCCCTCCCCCTCACCCTCCTCTCCCTCCTCTCCTCCTCCTCCTCCTCCTCCTCCTCCTCCTCTCCTCCTCCTCCTCCTCCTCATCCTCCTTGTCCTTCTCCTCCCCTCCTCCTCCTCCTCCTCATCCTCCTTCCCCTCCTCCACCTCCTCCTCCCCCCTCCTCCCCCTCATTTTCCTCCTTCTCCTCCTCCTCCTCCTCCTCCTCCTCCTCCTCCTCTCCTCCTCCTCCTCATCCTCATCCCTCTCCTCCTCCCTCGCCTCGGCCTCCTCCACCCTCCTCGTCGTCCCCCCTACTGCTCAACCTCGTCCCGCTCTCCGTCGGCTACCCTCTGTCTCTGCCAGCCCCTTCTCTGAAGGGGCCCTGGGATACACTTACAAATAGGCACAAATTCCAGGATTCACGATATTTGTCCATGTCTTCTGCGTTTTCGTCTTCCTCCCCACTTCCCATATTTTCCGATATCTTCCTGGGAGCCGACTTTGATTCTCTTGTCTGCGGTTTCTCCCCTCCTGATCATCCCTGTCCCGCTCGCCACCCTCGCCGTCCTGCTGCTGTGGCGGCTCCTGCGGTGGCAACATCTCAGCAGGATCGCTGCCAGCAACACGAATCCCGAGCAGGGGCGCCGGAGGCCTCCTCCGCCCCGCCCCTGCTGGGCCCTGCTTCTCACAAGCTGCCGGGCCCCGAGCCCCCCGGCCCTGCCTCCTCGCCGGAGGGCCGCAGAGGCCACGGAGCCTCCGGGGAGAAGCACGGCAGGAAGCCAGCACGCTCGAAGCGACGCATGGCAGTCAGCGTGGACAGGCCTGTCTGAAATCTGTGGGACTAGTTACATCCCGGACGTCCAGCGTCTCAGAACAGATATCGATGCGTAGGGACGAGGAGGAGGAGGAGGAGGAGGAGGAGGAGGAGGAGGAGGAGAAGGAGTTCGAACATCCATGATTCAGGACGCCGGCGAGAACTGTGGTACTGATCCGCACGCCGGTGAGCGGCGAGGCATCCAGGCAGTGGGCAGCCCGCGTTCAGCCACACCGCTCCTGCGAGGCGGGCCCGCCATCGCTCGGAAAGCCATCCCGTGTGCACTGGTCGGCCTCGTGCGTTGGGTTTTCCGCGAGACGCTCCCAGCTGCTCCTCGATGGTCCCCGCCGCAGAGAAACGCGCACCTGTCCGAGCGATGCCCCGACGGGAGCTTGCCGTCGCTCGAACGTCCATTTCCCGCGCACTTGTCGGCCTCGTGCGTGTGCGTTTATCTTGCTCGATGGTCCAGGATGCTCCTCGCTTCGGGGGCGGCAAAGAGGGGGGCGTCCAAGAGGGGGGGTGCAAATCATGGCCGGCCAGGGACGTATTAAAACAAGAGGAGGCGCCATGAAACCTGTGGAAAGATCATGGCTCCCGCCATGATGTCCACACACAGCCCTAGGCATCACCGCCCTCTTTGCCGCCCCCGATCGCTGGCCCTCGCCGAAGAGAGACACAACACTCCCAGCCCTCAAAGGTCGGCCCTGGCAGAGCGCGAGGGGGGTGCTGCCATACCATATATACAATGCCTGCTCTGTTTCTTGCTCCTCCCACCGCACCCGAGGCAGCCCCGTCAGAGCCGAGGCATTCTCTTCGGGTGGAGGGCTCAGGGTGAAGTCCATGTGGGCCTTGCACCTCGAAGATCAGTCCGTCTTGTGGTTCCCCTTTTGCAGATTCAAGCCTCGACCATCCGTCGAAACGGCATTTCAGATTTCACTCTGTGCCCTCCACCCAAAGAAAATGCTCGGAGAGCGCACGGGGTGTGGCTATACCCCACATGTTCCTCATGCTTCGTGCTCCTCCCTCCCCTCCCAGGCCAGCCCCGCCAGAGCGCCAGGGAGACCCCGCCAGAGAGAGCTCCGGGCATGGACCCCCGCCAGCTCAGCACGCACGCGTCCGAGCAATGCCCCGACGGGAGAGGACCATCGGCAGAGCGAAGGGCTCCGCGCCGGGTGGCCGCCCGGCGCACGGCAGGAGAAGGGGGGGGGGGGCGGGCTGCAGGCCGGGCCCCACACTTCAGTGGGGCGTGTCCCCCTGCAGGGGGACCTCAGACGAAATCTAATAGAACTACCCCCAAGACGTCTAGAATTCAAGACATACTAAAGAGCAAATCGTCCCCTGACTACTTTTTGTCAGTCTTCGAGAATTCCTCCTGTAGAGGGCCACGCCCGACTTGACCCCGAGCATGGCTTTCGAGGATCGTGCTACCAGAAACGACGCTGCCTCCTCGGCCTGTCTGGCCACAGCGAGCCTTGGCGCCACGAGGGCGTTCCTCGCGAGCTGGGTCCGAGGACCTCGGCCGAAAGCCGGCGCCCCTCCCGAGAGGCAGACACCCAGCTCAGCGTCTCGCCTTCACGTGCTCGAGCTTCCGACGGTTACTCATGATGATGCCGATGGCCCAGCCAGCACGGGATGGCGATGATATGATGGTGGTGGTGATGATGATGACGATGATGATGGTAAGAATAATGATAGTAATAATAATGATGATAATACGAATAGTAATGGATAACAATAATAACAATAAATATCATGAATACTGACTAATAATAATAATAAACATGAGAACAGTAAGAATAATACTAATAATAGACATAATGAAAGTAATAATAATGCTGATGGTGATGGTGAAAGTGATGGTGGTGATGATGATGCTGATGCTGCTGATGATGCTGATGATGATGATGATGAGGCTGACGATGATGATGGTGAGGATGGTGATGATGCTGATGATGATGCTGCTGATGCTGCTGATGATGATGGTGAGGATGGTGATGATGATGATGATGATGATGATGATGATGATGATGATGATGATGATGATGATGATGATGATGATGGCCCAGCCCGCACGGGCCGACTCCACGAACTCGGCCCCATCACAGGCCCATAGGTTCCACCAGGATCTGAGTGGGCCCCCGAAGCACTTCTGCGGGTCCTCTGAACTTCGTCCTCCTCCTCCTCCTCCTTATCCCACCAGCCCTCCGGGCACAACTGGCACCACGGTTCTTCTCTTCCCTCTTCCAAAACAATTCCTTCCCCCAGTCGAAGAGGAGTTTACCCCTCCCCCTCCCATGGGGTGTGGGAAGGGGGGTGGCTCAAGGTGTCAGACGGCCCTTTGGGGACCAAGATCCAAGATGCCTCGAATACGGCCCCCGAAGATCCAAGATGGTCTCCATGATGGTTCAAGACCGCCGAAGATAGTTGCAGAGCCTCCAACGTGCCTTCGAAGAGGCTCCATGACGGCCCCAAAACCGATCCAGCTGTCCCCGGAGCCTCCCAAGAGCACCCGAAGAGCCCGAAGTGGTTCCAAAGCCTAAGTGAAGGCAATGATGTTTGCGTTTGCTTCCTCGCTTTTCCCGCCCGACGGGATTGTGAGGCCTCAGGATGGCCCCAATATGGCCCCAAACGATCCCCAAGAGGGGCCCAGGATGGCCCCTAGACGGCCCCGAGAGCGCCAAGGAGCGCCCCAAGAGCGTCCCAAGAGGGCCCCACGAGGCCACTGTTCTGCTGCCCGAGGGAGTGCCCGAGCTAGGGCTCCCACCCTGTTGGGAGCCTTGGCCTCCAAGATGGTCCCAAGAAGCCCTCCAGGGCCCCCACGCAAGATGCACATTAAGAGTCTAGGAGAGGGCCCCAAGGGGGGAACCGAGATGGCCCCAGGAGAGCCCCAACGGCCTCCAGAATGGCCCCGCGAAGGCTCCAAGAAGCTCCCCGAAGTCTGTACCGTCGCCATTGATGGCATATCCCTGCTTCACTACATGCTTACCTACGCCTCTCCTCTGGACAACCCTCATGGGCATCGTATCTTCGTGGGCTGGTGGGGACCCGCGACGCGTCAAGAATTAGTCATCGTCGGAGTCCTCGTCGGACTCCTCCACCTCCTAATCCTCCTACTCCTCCTACTCCTCCTGCTCATCCTGCACCTCCTCTTCCTCCTCCGCATTGTCCTCCTCCTCGCCCTCCCCCTCTCCCTCCCCTCCCCATCCTCCTCCTCCGCATACCCCTCCTCATCATACGCCGCATTCCTCCTCTAGTTAATGTCGTCGTCCTTCTCATCCTCCTCCTCCTCCTCCTCCTCCTCCTCCTCCTCCTCCTCTCCTCATCCTCGTCTCGCCTCCTCCTCCTCCTCCTCCTCCTCCGAAGCCCGCGAATTTGCTATCCCGGTCCCGGTGCCAATCGCCACGTCAAAGAGCCGCTCCAGCCTCAGCGTGGGCGAGCTGGGATCGCTCAGGCACGGGGGGGGCGATGAAGGAGGCTGCCCCGAGCTTTGTCGCCGATCAGGTTGGGCAGAATCGTCGCTGCCTCCATCAGGCTATGCAAATAGCGTAGTCGGCCTTGTACCCACCACTTGCGCGCAACCCAGAGATCTGCACGCGCTCGCGCGCTCACGCACACGCACATGCACCCGCAGACGCACACACACACACACACACACACACCTTGCGTTCGCCCCGTCGTGATACGGTGTTGCTCTCGCTCGCGCGCTGTCCTCGTGCTTGAGATGGAAGAAGCGCACGGAGATCCGCTTCCACGGGGCTCGAGACGAGGCCGTGTCCTCCTGGGGCAGGGGCAGGCCGACGAGCGCAACAGATCACACACGCTCTGCCCACCAGCCGCGGAAACGATGCTTGGCAACGTCGATGCCGATCGACCGCGCAGCGCGATCTCTGCAGAAGGCGCAATCGGAGACGGAGAACGCGCGAGGCAGGCGGACCGCGGACAAGCAGGTGAGGACGACGCAGCGACGAGCACGCGAATCGGCCAAGGGAGGACGGGCGGGGCAGGGGCGGACCAGGAGAGACGAAAGATGCATCACACAAACGCAAACACACACACACACGCACACACACACACACACACACACGCACACACACACACACACGCGCACACACACACGCGCACATGCGCGCCCACGCACATACATACACGCACGAACACACATACATACATACATACACACACGCCAACATACACATACACACATATGTTTCCCTCCAGCGCACCAAAGCATCCAATCGGCAGGCGATGCAACAAAGACGCAAATTGTAAAAAGCTAACTTCTTTGCGAAGTAGCATGGTGCATCTGACACACACACACACACACGCATGCGTAGCCATTGCATCTCGACTCATGGACGCGATCCCGAAGATATGCCGTCGCTTGGGCACGTTCCGCGCGGGGCAACCGCGAAACAACACCCCATATCCGTGGGTCGCACCCCGCGGAACCTGGCCCGCGAGGTCGTGGATATGGATATGCTCCCCGTCAAAAGCCGAACGAACGACCCGCACAAAATAGATCGGCTCTACTGGAATCGGACGGTGACAGAAAGTCCGTGATGCGCGCGGGGACGTACATCGCCGCCAGATTTCGGCGGGCACGCTTTCCTAGTCTCGAGCTGTCGCGGTCGACCGCACTCCGAGAACATGCAGACGATCTAAAAAGGCCGGGGGAAGTCAGAAGTACAGTCTGGGCGCACCTTTTGCAGATGTGCCCCGCTCGTGCTGCTGCGCAGTGGTGCGAACTTCACCGAGCGCAAGGTGCGCGGAGAACGGAAGACACGCGCTCGAAGGCAGAGCGAAGAAGTTGCCCTGTCCGTCGCCCCGCCTCCAGCGCCAGTGGTGGACCAGTCGACGTGCCGTGTGCAGCCTCTGCGGACGACCTCCCGGAGGTCGGCCACGTCGGCACTGCCAAGTGAGGCCTGCCATCGCTCGGACGTCCATTCCCTGTGTTTTTTTCGGTTTCGTGCGTGCTTTCCCGCCAAATAGTCAAGGATGCTCCTCGATGGTCCTCGCCGAGGAAAACATGCACACGTCCGAGCGATGCCAAGGTGCGGGGCCGGCGGCGGCGGAAGACCTGCAGCACACTCTGGCACGGCGCCTGCGACCCTGCCGCCCACCACTGCAGAACCCGTCCCCAGGAGGCGGCAGGACCTGGCCGGCGGCCGTGGCGAGGGCGACGGCGCGCCTGCGCTCCGCCGCGCCTGCTGCAGCGCCCCGAGAGCGCTCCGAAGGGAGGCGCTCGGGAGGCCACCACGACGAAGCCAGGACTAGATGTAGGTCGGACATGCCCCCCTACAGGCTGAGTTGGGAGGAAAAATGAGACATGGTCAAAACATACCACAAAGAGAATGAAAAATGGTAGAAACATCGTCCTTCAACTACCTCTTTTCTACTATCTTTGAACATTCTCCCTGAAGAGGGACAGGCCCGATTTAAGACTAGGTATCGGGCCGCCCGGAGAGAGCCATGGGACGCCCTGGAGCGATGCATCCTGGCCCTGGGCCCGGCCGACCCAGGAGTACCAAATGATGGGCCTGCTTTCCACCACCACCACCACCACAAGCTGGAGGGGGGAAAGGAGGTGGAGGAGGAGGAGGAGGAGGAGGAGGAGGAGGAGGAGGAGGAGGACGAACCACCACAAGCTGGAGGGGGGGGGAAGGTGGAGGAGGAGGAGGACGAAGATGAGGAGGAGGAGGAGGAGGTGGAGGAGGAGGAAGAGGAGGACCCCCTCCCCCTCCTACTCCTGGTGGCGGCGGTGGAAAATCAAGCCCACCACCAGAGGCCCAGGGCCGCTGCCCTGGAGAGGGGGGGGGGGCCGTCCGCCCGCGCGGACGCCTGTTGGGAGCCCAAGGCAGGGACACGCTCGCGGCGCCGGGCGCGCACAGGGCCTCGCGGGCGACCGTGAACCTCTCCAGATTCGTCCGGCGGGGGCCCGCCTCGTCGGCTGGGCCGCGTCTAAAGCAATGCGTCCCCCACTCCAATGCACGATGGAGCCCGAGGTGGGCAACGGCGAGCTTGACGCAAGCCAGCCCGTCCAGGGCGGTACGGGGGGTGCGGACGAGGGGGGTGCGGGACCTGCGCGACTACGCGCGCGCAGCCAGCGACAACGTCTGCCCGGCCCAGTGGACCAAGGTGGGCCGCTGTGGGTCGCATACGGAGGTGGCCGCCTCGCTCTGTTCGCCGCCCGCTCGGCGTCGCGTCGAGCTGCACCTGCTGCGCCCTGCCGAGGTGCGGTGGAGCCAACGCGAGGGGCCGCGCGCACTTGCCGACTCCGCAGCAGCGCGTCACTGCGGGGCTTCGCTGGCTGCCCCTGCACCAACTGGCCAGGGCACCATGGCGCCCCGAACTGGTACTCACGCGCCCGCTGTCGGAGGCTATCCAAAACCTGGAACTCGTTTAGGGCGCTTATCTTCGCGCTTCGCGCTGCGCGAATAGCTTCGCGCTCTCGCGCCGCCCCCCAGGGGCAAAAGAGGAGGCTCAGGAGGAGTCGGAGCCGAACCGCGAAGCGCGAAGCGCGGGTAACTTCGCACCCTCGAGGGCGCCCTTGTTGTGCTTACGCGCCCCCTGTCGGAGGCCATCCTGAAGCTGGAACTCGTGGAGGCGCGGACCCGTCTTGTCCAGGCCGCTGGTCGGGGAGTGAGTCGTAGGCGCACTCGCATCGACCGGCGCTCAGCCCAGGGAAGGTGCAGCGTCACAGGCCGTCGGGAGCGCCACCAGGCCAGCATATGCCCAAGGGTTGTCCGCAGGTGCATCGCACCACTGGGCCACGCAGACACGGAGCGACCACTCAGAAGTAGCGGAGCAGAGAAAGGACCGTCAACACTTCACACAAGCACACACACACACACACGCAGGCAGACACAATCTCGTTCTCATACAGTCGGCCTTGATTGGACAGGACACGCGAGAGGACACAAGACCCTTCCGAGGGCCACATCGCCGTAGGAATGTGAGAAGGCACCTGCCGCGAGGCACAGGACACAAGGGCACCCTTGAGCTGACAGGGTCGACCTACTGATCCGGGCCGACTGTAGTCGGCTACACGCAAGAGTGACCCTGGGTAAGAGTGACCTTTGGTGCGCGGCTTTTTGGGGGCCGCGGGGAGACCTAACCTGGGCGCGCAAGCCGCTGCTACCGCCTCGTTTTCAGCCATCTGAGGGCATATCTGTGCCCGCACTCAAGGTCACTCCGGTGAAAGGTCACTCTTACGTCTAGTCGATGTAGGCGGGCGACGCTGCATCGGCCGCCGCCGGCACTGCACGTGCTCCTCCGACGCCGCGGTGCCGCGCGCTCTCTCTGGGACGGCACTGAGGCGGGCCCCGCTCGGAGCCCCCCGCCCACCCCGCGGTGGCAGCACGCGCAGAGCCCGCGGCCCCGGTGCGCCCCGGCGTGGGCACGCGCGGGCACGCGCCCAGGCGCACGAGAGCTCCCTCAAATAGCAGCTTAAAAACTCGAAACATCGATTTTCTCGGAGTTATGCGAAGTTGGTTCCGCCAAGTGTTTTGATAGTAATACTGCAGCTGAGGACCTGAGAATTTTACAGCCCGACGCGCCATAATCTACGACTGGTGCGAAAAATGCTGGAATGCCGCTGCGCCCCAGGGTGCGTTCTGACCAGGATCCCACCAGCCCCTCTGGGCGCAGGTGGTCAAGAGAGCTTGCTCTTCCAGCCCCCTTCTTCCCCGTCGGGGAGGGGCCTACCCCTCCCCCTCACCCCCTCCCCTGGCCCTGGACGGGGCGCCCCGCGAGGCGTTGGAGCGTCCAACATGGCCCAAGACGGTCCCAAGAGCGCCTCAGAAAGCCCAAGATGACCTCCAAGATGGCTCAAGATAGCCCAAGATGCCTCAAGATGGCTCCCAAGATGCTCCAAGAGGCCCCAAGACCGCCCCAAGACGGCTCCACGTGGCCGAAGAGCAGCTCCGAGGGTGCGTTCTCCCCAGAATTCCGAGGCAAATCCAGCCGTGGCGACGAGGAAGGGCAGCGGCATCGATATACCGATCTCTGCCGTCTGCAAGCCGGAGAAGCTGGTGACCCCGGTGAGCCATGGTGTGTGCACGCGCGCAGAAGAAGATTGCCGCGCCACACCTCACCACATGCCCGACTCCTCAAACACTCGATCCGAAAAAGGCTGCATCAGACAAGTAAAAAAGAATAGATCAGTTCGATGTGCTATGTGCGCTTGGCTATGAAATGTTTTATTGGAACCGTGCGGCGTGGATCAGACTTCCGTGTGAGTGGATGTCAATTCGCTTTCCCCAGATCTAATGTTCGTCCCGTTTTTGCCCACGCGAATATGATCCTTCCCCGTTTCAATTCTGATGTATCAAATTGGAGATAGGCAACCGGGGGGATCAGATCCAAGGCCCCGCAGCCCGCTGCTGGGGTGGGATTGGTTACGGTAAATCAAATTGCCACACCGAGCCATGGGCCATGAGCTGTCTCGCCCATCGTCGTCGTCGTCGTCGTCGTCGTCGTCGTCGTCGTCATCGTCGTCTTCGTCGCCGGCCAGTCGTCGTCGTCGTCGTCGTCGTCGGTCGGTCGGTCGGTCGGCCGGCCCGTCAGTCGGTCACCGGGTGGGTCGTCGTCGTCGGTCGTCGTCGCTCGGTCGGTCGGTCGTCGAGTGCCCAAAAATCAAACAAGCGGAAACCTTGCCCTCTCTGCCCAGGGCGCTTGCCTCTACTTCCGCGCCGGCCTTCCGCGGAGGAGGAGGAGGAAGAGGAGGAGGACGGAGGAAGAGGACCGAGGCGCGCCCGGCACGCACGCGATCGCCCCGCCCCGCGCGGCGCGGCCCGGGGCCCCGCGGCACGCCAGGCGCGCGAGGCGCGATCGGCCCGCGGTCGGCAGGTCCCGGGCGGCTGGGGCCGCGGCTCGTGGTGGGCGGCTCCCCGCTCGGCCTGCCGGGGGAGCACTGCCGGGGGGGGAGCCTGCCTCCTCCGACATCCGCCTGCCTCCACCCACAGCCTCCTGCCTCCTGCCGCCTCCTGCATCCTCCTCCTCCTCCTCCTCCTCCTCCTCCTCCTCCTCCGTCTCCCTCCTCCTCCTCCTGCGCCTCCTCCTCCTCCTGCTCCGTCCTCCTGCCTCCTGCCTCCTCCTCCTCCTCCTCCTCCTCCTCCTCCTCCTCCTCGTTCACCTCGTCCTCATTGAACCCCTCCTTCTCCTCCTCCCTCCTCCTCCCCTCCTCCTCCTCCTCCTTCTCCTCCTTCTCCTTCTCCTCCTTCTCCTTCTCCTCCTTCTCCTTCCCCTCATCCACCTCCTCCCCCGCCACATCCTATACCACTGTCCCTTCTAATGACTCCTCCCTGTCGCACACCCATACCATGTTGGTAAGGCGGTCTGGGCGTTTCGCCTGAGACTTCTTCACCATCTATGATGGACGGGTCGGTTTCAAAATGGAGCTCCCGCCATAAACCGCACACATTCGTCGATCTCCACCTGATCGACCTCCTCATACTCCTCCTCCTCAAACTGAAACGCCCCCTCCCCAGCCGCCTCGTCGTCCTCCTCCTCCGCCTCCTCCCCTTTCACCTCCTCCCTCTCCTCTCCATGGCCCTTCCTTCGCTCGAGCGAGTGCTGCAAGGATGCTCTTCAGACGGCCACGCGCTCCTGCGAGCCGTGGCCTCGCGACGGCCTCCTTTCTGTTGCTCTGCCTGGCGGTGCGCACAAGGGGGTGGAGGGAGGGGGGGGCTTCTTAGGAGGGGTCTGCTTCTTCGAGGGCGCCGGCCGTGCATCTACAGGCGAGGCCCGCGCCTTCTGAGACGCAGGGTGCTTCTAAGAAGCTCTCCCCCCTCCCCCCGTCTCTCTGAGTCCCGAAACGGTGCGGTGACAGACCGTGCGGTGACCTCGAAATCCCCCAAGGCCTCACCGCACGGTCCGTCACCGCACGGCCTTGGGACCCCGGAGGCCCCTGTCGCCCGATACGTACCTCCTCGGAGAACAACTCGAGTCCCAAAACCGTGCGGTGACCCCGAACCCCTACCGACTCACCGCACGGTGTGGTCACCACCCCGTTTGGGGGCCCCCCCCTCTGCGCGTGGCTGATCTGCGGCGAGCTGGGGTCCGGCAAGCGGTCGGGCAAACGGCGGGACGCATCCGCTGCGAGCTGGCGTGGAGGCACGAAGGCCGCGGGGCGGCCAGAGGAGGGCCCTCCGACCGTGCAGGCCTGCAGGAGGAGCCCCAGGCATCCGCCCGCTCCAGCTTTTTTTCGAGGCGTGGGCCCAGGGGGTCCCGTCCACCTCCCAAGCGCCAGCTGCTTGTCCCGAGTCGCATTGTGGCGCTCCCGAGGCCCGTCGAGGGCCCCGGGGGGCCGAAAACGGCACAAAAACCGCCCGCTCCAATTTTCCCGGGGCGCCGCCGCCGCCGCCGCCACCGCGGGCACAGGTGGTGGCCGCGGGCGGGTGCCGTTCCAAAACCCAGCGCTTCGCGTGTATGGACTGCCTGCCAGACCACCACAACCCAACCCGACGACCCGACTTTCGGGTTGGGGGAGGGACACGGGTTCCACATATGTTCTGCCCCCCCTCACTGGGAATGGAGGGCAGATTGGGGCCTCCGGGTTGGGTTGGGGCGGTTTGGTGGGTGGTGATGTACCCCAACCTCCGACGTCGTGATTGTTTCAGCGCGTCGACCCCCAGAGGTCTGGACCCCGTCCTGGGGTTCAGTCTTAATCCTGAATAATTGTTGACGGTCCCGAAGCCCCGTCAGGGCCCCCAGAGGCCGAAAATAATGGAAAACCTCCAGTCGCGTTTCTTTGTCGCGAGGAGGTCTGGGTATCAAGGTAGACAAAGATCGAAAAGGGCATCTAGATCGCCCCGAAGAGCTCCGGGGCACACGCGAAGCATGGCCACAACCAGCCGTCGGGCCCGGCTCACACCCACTCGGAAGCCCAGCACGCCGTGTTGGGCCGGGTCCCTCGGCGGTGCCCTCAGCGCCCGCGCGCCCAGCAGGGCGCGTGGTCCGGGGGCGGCCACAGGGCCCAGCCCGCCGTACATCCGGGCGCTGGGCCACCGCTGCGTGGCCATCGGCCTCGAGGGCGAGCCCGCCACCCGCGCGCCTGCCGAGAGTGGCGCCCACGGCCCCGCCATGGTGCCAGAGACTGGCAGGGCCAGGGGGAGCGAAGCAGGACGAGCAGGGGAGAGAGAGAGAGAGAGAGAGAAAGAGAGAGGACGAAAGAGAGATAGAGGGAGATAGAGAGAACGATATGACAAAGAAAGAGAGAGAGAGAGAGAGAGAGAGAAAGAGAAAACAAAGAGAGAGAGAGAGAGAGGCGGACCCAGGGGGAGGCGGAGGTGCAGGAGGGCCGCGGCGGCAAGGGGAGAGAGCAGCGGGGCGCGGACGTGGAGGGCGCCAGGCTGCAAGGGAGGAGCAGGAGGAGAACCGAGAGGCCGAGGAGGGGGCAGGAGGGGAAGGCGCAGAGAGGTGGAGAGGAGGTCGATGAGGGAGAGGGGGAGGACGAGAGGGGAGAGGGGGGGAGAGGAGGACGAGAGGGGGCAACGGAGAGCACTGCTCCCCCCTTCCCCTCCCGCGAGCCTCGCCGAGACACGCGCCAGCCCACCACTCGCCGACCTCCCCCGTCAGGGACCGGAGCCGGGTGAGCGCCGAGTGCCAGTGCGGGAGCCGGAAGCTCGACCTGAGGGCCGATCGCCGGCCACGACCGCGGGCAGGAGAAAGAGGATCGCAGTCTCCTCTTTTGCTCCGCGCGTCCGCCCTCCAAGACTTCTCCCTATGAATATGAAACTTCTCCGTGTCGCACCCCGACGAGGCCAGTCTGCGGGGCGGTCTGGGCGTTTCGCCCGAGACCGCCTCACCATGGACGACCCGGAAGCTCAGACATTGACAACGGTTTCACAGATGAAGGGCGGACTTTTGCAAAATGTGGTTCTCGCCTTAGCGCCGCGCGCATTCTTTTGGAAAGTTCGCAAGAGTTTCACGGATCCTTTCTCTCGCCTTAGCGCCGCGCGCATTCGTTTTACAAAGTTCCACGAGTTCCACGGATCGATGGCGGCTCCTTTTCAAAATGTGGCTCTCGCCCTAGCGCCGCGCACATTCGTTCAAACAAATTGCAAGAGCTTCCCGTAGTGACGGCGGTTCCTTTTCAAAATGCGGCTCTCGCATTAGCGCTGCGCACACTCGTTGTTCCTTTGTTCAATTGGCAAGAAAATGTCACGGATTCCCCTGAACTGCGCACCAGAAATGGTTTATTAGAAGTACTCAGGATTATGAGGGCGAAAACGGTTACGTTGATTCGCGGTGTTGAAGTCCCAGGAATGGCGTTTTGACACTATTCAGGATCGTCAAGACACAACAATCAGGTTGATCCGTCGCGTTGGAATCCCAAGAAATATTTTTTGGCATGCAACACGGTCTTCAAACGGTTGTCTTCCAACGAGGCAGCGAGGCAGTTCCCTCAGTGGAAATGAACCCGTGTATGGGGCCTATGAAGAGGGAGCTTAGAGGGAGGGTTTATTCTAACATCGTTGATGACTCATGGGTGTACACTGGTCCCTCCTCCTCCTCCTCCTCGTCCTCCTGCTGCCTCCTACCTCCTCCTCCTCCTCCTCCTCCTCCTCCTCCTCCTCCTCCTCCTCCTCCTCCTCCTCCTCCTCCTCCCTCCTCCTCCTCCTCCTCCTCTCCTCCTCCTCCTCCCTCCTCCTCATCCTCCCTCCTCCTGCCTCCTCCTCCTCCTCCTCCTCCTCCTCCTCCGCCTCCGCCCCTCCTCCTCCTCCTCCTCCTCCTCCTCCTGCTCCGCGCGTCCTGCACATCATCGGGGGCGCCGCGCGAACCAACCTCCCACAGACAGGCTCGTGCACCATAGTGCCATGGCCTGGGAGCCGACATTTAGGTCAGGCCTGTCCCCCTACAGGGGGATTTTGGACGAAACATTAAAAACGCCCACCCCAGAATATACTCCTTTTGTGTAATGTAGTTATATATATATTATCTTTGAATATTCCCCCTGTAGGGACAGGCCCGACTTGAGCCGACGGGGGAGGCAGAAGGGGCTACTACGAATGCGCCTCGGCGAGGCCGTCCATGACCAGAAGACAGATGGTGCCTCAAAAGGCTCCCTCCACAGAGCCCGAATCCATGGCTGCCGCATCCGACCGCGGAGACATCCCTTGCTCGCGCCGGCGCGCCCCAGGCGCGGCAACCCAGCCTCCGTCCTCCAGACGAAGCCCGAAACGAGACCCCCTCCTCCTCCTCCTCCTCCTCCTCCTCCTCCGCCCTCCTCCTCCTCCTCCGCCCTCCTCCGCCCTCCTCCGCCCTCCGCCCTCCTCCCTCCTCCTTCCTCCTCCTCCTCCTCCTCCTCCTCCTCCTCCTCCTCATAATGTAGTCTCGAGTGGGGGGTGGCAGGAAGGGGAGGCCGAGGGGGCAGCCAGGGAGGGTACGGTCGGACCTCGGACGGAAGAGCACCCATCGAGAACACGAGACCCTCCGCCAACCAAAACGAAGAGCACTCGAGGGTACCCTCCCCCAGGATGCACAAGCACATACAGCAGGCACGAAAAACATCAGGGTACTCTCCTGAACCGACCTCGATCTCATACCTCGATCCGCCGGTAGCCGAGGGGAGGCCATGACGCCGTGGCCTGGGAGCCGAGGGGAGGGGAAAAGGGGGCAGAGGGGAGGCAGAGGGGAGGGACAGAGAGGGGTAGGGGGCGGCCGTGGCGCCGTACTTCGGCGGCCTGGGAGTCAAGGAGCACCAGGTGCGAGGTACCCGTCGGTCGGAAGAAGTGGAATGAAACATGAAGTAGGAAGGTGTTGGAAGTAGATTGGGCTTCCGCCCGCACCCTGAAGAGGAGGGAAGGGGTGAAACAGCTCGATCCTTGAAGCAGGAAGGTGCCCAAAGTAGATTGGAATCTGGGGTGAGGTCGGGCATGTCCTCCTACAGGCGGATCTCGGAAGTGTGTTTGGGAAACATGCGCGAACATTACCAAAAACAGTAGAAAAATCATCCCCAGGCTATTGGTCAACTATTTTTGAATATTCCTCCTGTAGAGAGACATGCCCGACTTCCATCTGGGAACCCAACGACCCCTACTTTCAACGACCGACGGGTAACTAGGCGCCCTCCGGCAGAAGCCACAGCATCCCCCGACCTCCGCCGCAGAGCTCGCTCGCGGTGGAAGTGCAGCGTGGGCGCCGTAAACGCAAACTGTCCGTAAACGCAAACTGTTGCAGCATGCGGGGGGAGGGGGGGGGGCACGAGAATAGCTCCTCCTCCTCCTCTTACTCCTCCTCCTCCTCCTCCTCTCCCTCCTCCTCCTCCTCCTCCTCCTCCTCCTCCTCCTCCTCCTCCTCCTCCTCCTCCTCCTCTCACCCCCAAGATGGCCCCAGGCATCACCAGCACCAGCAGCACCACTAGCTCCAAAATGGCCCCACGAGGGCAGCAGAGCACCACAACAATGACATAAACAAAAAACAAACTCGGAGGTCCGCGCGGACTTCTCTGATCCGCGCTGGGGCCGCCTGGCGGCGCCCCCGGCGCCGACCCTGGCGCGCTCCGCGCGCCAAGGAGGGGGGTCCAGCGCGGATCCAAGAGATCCGCGCGGACCTCCGAGCTTGTACGTTTATGGCATTCTCCGTTCCCCTAGAGAGGGCGCGTATCTCGGGTGTGACCATCCGCCTACTCGGACGGGCAAACAACTAGCGCCCGTACCTGAACGGCCATCCCGATCACAGCCGCCATCGCCACGCACTGTTGGCAAATGACAAGACGTGACCAACCCAGATAGGCGATCTTGCCATATCATCCGCGCGGCTGGCGGCAGCGCGACCTGTTCACCGCAATCGCAATCGGCGCTCAAACGATAATCAGGCTCCCGATAACATTGAGAGGGGAGCTGCGGGGGAAATGAGGAGGGGCGGGCCTTCTCACAAGGCTCGGAAGTCCCCCCGTCTTCTCTGAGAAGTTTCCTGAGCCTTGCCCTCCGGAGGCACAGCAAACCTCTCGGATGGCGCGAGGGCTTCTGCGAAGCCCCGCCGCGTTCCGAGAAGGCCTTCCCCTTCTCACTTCCCCCCTCGCTCGCCGCCGAAACCTGGAGTGCGGATCCGTGGATCTGGGCACGCGGGGGCGCGCAAGAGGCCAGTGCCGCTCGAGGTTGGCGACGGTGCCCGCCGATGTTCGAGTGGGGCATGGGCGCACCCGCCGCGAAGCTGCGCGCTGGGCCCGCCCAAAAGAGCAGCAGGCTGTACCCAAAGCCCCAGGGGGCCAACGAGGGTCCTGGTCGTGGGTCTGGTTGCACAGTTCCCTCCCTGGGGCGTGGTTTCTGTAGGCTGACAGTGGCACTGGGCGGTGGAATCTGACTGGGGCGGGGAGGGTGTGGTGTACAAAGAAATCCTGAGGGACCAGGAATCGAGGAGTCACCAAAAGGGGACCCTGGACCCTTTGGGAGGAGACCTGAGTTAGGAGGGCCAAACAAGCAGGGATGGGGGGTCTTCCCTGCAGATGCATCAGCCCAAGCCGCCCAGAACTGCCACCCCGACTGCGAAGACGGGGGCCTCAGTGAGGCCACGCCCTCGTCGTGCTATCGGGGTTCTCAGGGGGCTCCCTCGTGCTCGGCGACTCGCTGCCCGCGCTTCCTCGATGACTGGCCGACGCGCCCGCGGACCGCCAGAGAAGTCCGGGCAAACCTCGCCGCCGCGAGGCCCCGCCGCCGACGACGACGGCGACGAGGACGACAAGGAGGAGGAGGAGGAGGAGGAGGAGGAGGAGGAGGAGGAGGAGGAGGAGGAGGAGGGGGGAGGAGAGGAGGCGGAGGAGGAGGAGGAGGAGGAGGGGAGGGAGGAGGGGGAGGAGGGAGGAGGAGGAGGAGGAGGAGGAGGAGGAGGAGGAGGAGAGGAGGAGGAGGACGAGGCCCTGCCAGAGCACTCCGGGCAAGCCGCGCTGCTCTCCGCGCCTGGCCGCTTCGCCCTTCCCGGGGCGGCAGCACTTTGCCGGCTCCCAGGGGGCGGCAGCACCGCGGGGGGGGGAGGGCGCACTCTGGGAGGCGCGGGCCTTCCCTCCGCCTCCCCTCCCCTGCCTGCCCCGCCCCGCTGGGCCCCCTCCACGCCCCTTCCCGCCCCGGCCCCTCCCGCTCTCCCTGCCCTCCCTCTCCTCGCCCCCTCCCTCCCTCCGCCCCCCTCCTGTCGCCGTGCCCTTCCCCGCCCTCGGCTTCGGCCCCCCCCTCCCCGCTTCGCCCCTCCTCGCCCCCCCGGCACCCCCTCTCCCCGCCCCCCTTCCCCTGCTCCACCTCCAGACTCTAGCTGCACACGGGTCAAGGCGCACCGACCGCGGCACAGGGGTAGACAAAATATCCAAGTCTCCGGTACTCTTCTGCTGATCGCCCAGCCCCGGATGGTGGGTTCAGGGACCCGTCAAGCCTATCGCGAGATCGGTACCCCCCCGGGGAAACCAAACGGCACCGATATCGTTACTCCCCAGACCTCTCCAGGAGTGCGTTCTGACCAGAATTTCAAGGCGAATCCAGCGGTGGCGACGAGGGCATTCCAGGAGGCCCCCAAACAGGAAAACAAGGCAAAGGTGGCGATATGGGTACCTTTTCCCTGCTAGGAGAAGACGAGGCAAGAGTAGCGATATGGGTACTTTTCCCTCCTAGGGGAAAACGATCCAAGGGTAGCGAGATGGGTACCTTTTAAAACGAAGCAAGGGTAGCGATATGGGTACCTTTTTGTTTCCATCCTAGGGGAAAACGAGGCAAGGGTAGCGATATGGGTACCGTTCCCTCCTCTGATCGGTGATCCCTCCTGGCAAGCCGAGGGCAGCGCGCGAACGCCTTGAAGTCGCTCTTGTTGGCATCCGCCGGGTCGCCTGGGCCGTGGGTGTGCCTCTCCGCGAAGCGCTTGATGCCCCTCAGCTCAGTGGGCGCCTCCTCGTGGGGAGAGAGGGCCTCCCCAGCCCTCCCCCTCCCTGTCTCCCTCCCCCTCCTCCTCCTCAACCTCCTCCTCCTCCTCCGCCCCCTCCCCCTCCGCCTCCCCTCCCCCTCCTCCTCCCCCGCCACTCCTTCCGCCTCCCCCTCCTCCTCCTCCGCCTCCTCCTCCTCCTCCTCCTCCTCCTCCGCCTCCTCCTCCTCCTCCTCCGCCGCCTCGTCCTCCTCTGCTATCCTCCGCCGCCCTCCTCCTCCTCGCCGCCTCCTCCTCCTCCTCCTCCGCCGCCTCCTCCGCCTCCTCCTCCCCCTTCCCCCCAATCATCAGTAACCTCCTCCTCCTCCTCCTCCTCCTCCTCCTCCTCCTCCTCTCCTCCACACACCCATTCAGTACCTCCTCCTCCTCCTCCTCCCACATCCGCCCCTCCTCCTCCTCCTCCTCCTCCTCCTCCTCCTCCTCCGCTCCTTTCGTCTTCAGTGTCCGCCGCCCCTCCTGTCCGCCTCCTCCGCCCGCCCCTCCGCCTCCGCCTCCTCCTCCTCCCCCTGTCCCCCAATCATCAGTAAGTCCTCCGCCTCCTCATCATCAGTATCCTCCTCCGCCTCCTCCTCCTCATCATCTCATCAGAACATCAGCATCATCATCATCAGCAGCATCACTTCACAAGCATCTTCAGCAGCATCATCATCATCAGCATTATCAGCATTAGCAGCATTACAGCAGCACATCATCATTCACCATCATCATGAAGCATCATGCATCATCAGCATCAGCATCACCGCATCATGCATGAGCATCATCATCAGCAGCAGCACATCCGCATCAGGCTCATCATCACAATCATCATCAGCTAGCATCATCATCATCATCAGCAGCAGCAGCAGCACATCAGCAGCATCAGCAGTACCATCATCAGCATCATCATCATCATCAGCATCATCATCAGCATCATCATCATTATCATCATCATCATCATCATCATCATCATCATCATCATCATCATCATCATCATCATCATCATCATCATCATCATCATCATCAGCAGCAGCAGCAGCAGCAGCAGCAGCAGCATCCTCGTGTTCGGCCCTCACCCTGCCACGGTCCTCCCCCTCCTCCTCCTCCTCCTCCAACTCCTCCTCCTGCGACTCCTGGTCCTCCTCCTCTTCCTCCTCCTCCGCCTCCTCCTAGTCACCCTCCTTATCCTGCTAATTCCTCTTCCCCTTCCTCCTCATCCTCGTCATCCTCGTCCTGCTCCCCCTTTATCCTTCACCGCCATCATCGCCATCATCCTCATGCTCCTACTCCCTCCTTGTTCCCACATCCACCGCCCTTTGTCGCCCCGGCTCCTTGAGCTCGCCGGCCACCAGAGCACGTACTAGCGCATCGAATTCCTCTCTGGGTGTGCGGCCACGTTGGAGAAACAGCGAGTCCGCAGGGTCAGGAGGGGGATGAATGACGGCAAGGGCGAGGAGAAGAGGGGAGCAGGGAAAGGCAGTAGAGCAGGGAGAGGGGAGGGAGGACGACGAGGACGGGGACGAGGACTAGCAAAACAACCAGGACGTGGAGGCGGACAAGGACTGGGAGAACAAATAACTTTGGAGCACGGTGGCGACGAGGAAGAGGGTGCGGCGAACCGTGAGGATGAATAATAAAGGAGGAGGGGAAACAACCGGAAAGAAGGAGGAAAGGACAGAGGAGGAGAAAGCTTAGGAGGGGGGAGGAGTGAAGACGGATGGACGAGAAAGAAGTAGGACGCATGGAGAAGGAATTTCAATAATCAGAAGTTCAGGGAGCACAGAGGTGTTAATGACCAGGAGGACGGGGCAGGCAGGAGCGGGAGGGAAGAGGCATGTGAAGGGGGAACGAATGAAGGATGTGGCGAGGAACGAGGAGGGAGGGGTGACGTGGAGAAACATACAGGACCTGATGAACGCTTGCTGACACCCGGCCGTAGAAAGTCCAACCCTGGACAACCACGATGCACACAGACGCATAAAAGGATTGGCTCCCAGTGTTGATGTGCAAACGTGAGCAGAAGAGACAGAGAGAGAGAGAGAGAAAGAGGGAGGGAGGGAGAGAGGGAGAGAGAGAGAGAGAGAGAGGTGAGGACAACTCAGAGGAACAAAGCACATGCACGAACATGAGCTTCTGGAGGTCCGCGCGCATTCCTCGGACCTGCGCTGAGAGAGCCCCCCCGCCCGACGCGCGGGTGGCGAGGCGAGGCGAGGCGCCGACGTGCGTCCAGAGAGCGGCCCTGTGCTGAGAGCACGGCGGCCGGGCCGGAGGCCCGGGATGCACAGTTGGATCCCTGTGTGATGTACGAGCGTGGAGCTCGCGGAGGAGGAGGAGGAGGAGGAGGAGGAGGAGGAGGAGGAGGAGGAGGAGGAGGAGGAGGAGGAGGAGGAGGAGGAGGAGGAGGAGGAGGAGGAGGGGGGGAGAGCGACGACGACGACGACGAGCAGCGAAAACCGGGGACAACTCGGCAGAAGACCTGCACCGCGGAGAAGGCCAGCTAAGTGCCAACGCGCACGCGTCAAGATGCATACGGAGGGGCGGACGAGGTGGGAGGAGCGAAGCAGTACGAGGTGCCCTGATCAACTGAAGGCATGCACTCCTCAGGCGGCTTACCATGAAACTACTGATGATGACCTGAACGCTTTCTTCATGGATTGCCGACTCTTGTGAATATTTGACTGGGGTTGTCTGGCGAACCAAATACTATGTGTCCATTACTCCCAAAATGAGAGTTCACGCCATCGTCGTCCATAATCAATTCGTGTCTGCACTTATCTCTGACAACGCAATTTTGAGATGTATAAAAACGCCTGTCCACCGAATCCGCGGAGTCGTACTTGAGAACCACGTGCTGCTTGAACCCAGATGCCAATGCGCAACTGCCTTTTGCATTCGAACATGATAGACGACCCTGTCATGCTCTTCCATGCGTGCTGGCTGCAGCAACGATCCGATCAATGTGTTAACGCAGTTGCAGTATGTGCTGAAGTAATGGATATCATATGCCTACCCCGCCGTCGTCTGTTTCTGCAGATCCCCGAACATGTGCGAGACATATGTTGTGGTGTTCTGGCCAGTCGCTGTCTGTCAACTTGCAATGCATCGGCAGCCTCGGCAATGCATCATCGACGCTGGATTGGGGAACATCGGGCCCCACATCGCGCCTCATCGCCAATGCATCGCCGATGCGGCGTCTGGGAAGCCTAGATTGAAAGGAGCAGGAGGGTCAGGCAAGAGAGACCCTCGCTGACCCAGGCTCCTGCTGCAGCGCCTCCAGCTTCTCGATGCGGGCCTCCACCGAGAACACCAGGCCCTTCTTCCTAGGGGGGGGGAGCTCAGACCACCACAACCACGGTGGTACTACACATCCGCTTCCCCCTCCTGGTAGTTTCACTCCCCCCGGGAGGGCTGGCTCAGATTCGCAGTTGGCTGCAAGGACGGGCCCTCACTGGTAGAACCCTCGGCAAGGCAGAACGAGCGAGTAAGAAACTCAAGACCCGAATAACGGGATGGCGACAAGCCCCCGAACAGGAGGAGGACGACGACGCGAAGGAGAAAGAGGCCAAGGGAGGGTCAGTCGAAGGAGGGGGACAAGGAGGAGGCTGGGGAGGAGTAGACCGAGTAGAGAACGGCGAAAAGGAGGCTGCACGGACGACGACGACGACGACGACGACGCGACGACGCGACGACGACGACGACGACGACGACGACGACGACGACGACGACGACGACGACGACTAGGGCGAGGAAGGAGCGCGCGGCAATCTGAAGGAGGAGTTTGCTACCAGTGGAGGGGCAGCAGCTGGGCTTCCGGAGGCTCCCCAGGCCGTGCGAGGAGGCCGGGCCCTGCTCGGCCCCCTGGGGCGGGCGCGAGCGGCGCCCGCGCCCGCGGCCCGCGGCCCCCACAAAGCAGCCCGAGCTGCATCGTGCACGTGGTAAGCTGCTGCCGTCCGGTACTCAACGGAAGACACGAGCACAGAGCAGCTAGCCTCCTCCTCGCCCGTTGTCGTCGCCATCATAACCCATCGTCATCATCCTCATCATCATCTCATCCTCATCCTCCTCCTCATCCTCATCATCATCAGCTTCTACTTCTCCATAATCATCAACAACAATCATCAACCGCATCATCATCAACATCGTCATCATCACCACCGTGAGCATCATTACTATGATCATCATGACCACCATCGCCGGCGGCGGCGGCGTCATCATCGAAATTATCACCGCCATCCTCCTCCTCCTCCTCATCCTCATCATCACCATCATCATCACCACATCATCATCACCATCATAATCATCGTCGGCATCATCGTCGTCGTCCTTGTCGTAGTCGTCGTTGTCGTCCTCGTCGTCGTCATCCACGTCGTCGTCGTCGTCCTTCTCGTCGTCGTCATCATCCTCATCATCCGCACCATCCTCATCCTCATCCTCACCTTCCTCATCATCATCATCATCACCACCACCATGATGATGGCCATCATCATCATCATCATCATCATCATCATCATCATCATCATCATCATCATCATCATCATCATCATCATCATCATCATCATCATTACCACCAGCATCATCATCCTCCTCATCCTCCTAATCCTCCCCATCATTATAATCAACATCAACACCACCACCATCAGCATCGCCATCATCACCAGCATCCTCATCATCACCACCATTACCACCACCATTATCCTCATCGTCATCCTCACCATCACCGTCCTCAAGCTCCTCCCGCTGTCTGCGATGCCCCCGGCGTCTCCGCTGCACCACGGCCAGCGTGCGGCTGGAGATGACCGCGGTGGCGTGCCTGGCCCCGCCGCTCTCCTTCACCGGGGACAGTCCTCCGAGGGGAGGGGGCACCGGTAGCAGCAGGAGGAGGGGGAGGAGGACGAGGAGGAAGAGGAGTGGGAGGAGTGGGAGGAGTTGGAGGAGTCGGAGTGGGAGGAGTCGGAGGAGGAGGAGGAGGAGGAGGAGGCGGAGGAGGAGCAGGAGCAGGAGCAGGAGCAGGAGCAGGAGGAGAAGAAGGAGCGCCCTTACCCTGAGATCCTGGCGTCTCAAATTTTTCGAGCCGGGCGTTTTCGTCAGGTTTTGGGACCTGGGGCCCTCCCAGCTCGATCCAGCTCGAGAGATGGCGCGCAGAAAGATGGGGTCCAGGGTTCCAGTCGTGATGTTGTATGATCAAAAAAATCGCGCCGTCGGATCTCAGGGTAGCCTGTCTTGGCCGATGCGCGCAGCTCCGGTGGCCCCGCACCTCAAACTTCTGGGTGCGTGCCAGGGCTACGGATTCCTGAGGGGGGGGGGGCCAGACATCCAGCCGCTCGCAATTTCTTCGATGCGAGGGCCCTGGAGGTCCAGACCCCCTGCCAGTCTCTCGTCCGGAGTCGTTTGACGCTTCCGAGGCCCGTCGAGGGCCCCCATGCAGATGCCGAAAACGGCCCAAAACCGCCTGCTCCGATGTTGTAGGAGCGTCGAAGCTCTAGGAGTCTGAGGTTTACATTCTGGCAAGTTTCCTTGCGTGGACGGGTGGGGGGGGCTTGAACTTGAAGCAAGCCGCAAGGACTTGCACGTGCGGAGCCCGCGCAAGTCGAAGGGCACTTGCACGCCAGGATTCGTCTGAAGAGGGGCGAGGGAGGGGGGGGGGAGGGGGCGAACGCCATGCAAGGAAGCTGGCCCGAGCCTCAACAAAAAGCAGGCTCGAGGGCTGCGGATTCTGGGGGGGGGGCGGGCGGACGCGGGCGGAGGGGAACGCGAACGCGGAGCGCCGGCAGGGCGAAGGGGGGGGGCGCGGGGAGGAGGGAGGCGGGCGGGAGGGGGGGCCGAGGGAGAGGGTGGAGAGCATGTGGCGAGGGAGCGAGGGAGCAGGAAGGGGGGAGGACAGAAGACAGGCGCGAGAGGGAGGGGGGGGAGGGAATGAGGGGCGAGGAAGGAGAAAATGTTAACGACGGTCGAAGAAGGGTACTGAAGAAACTGTTCCGTCACCGGGGGCGCCTGTCCTAGGGCGGCTGGAAGGTTTCTACGCTAAGGTGCCGCCGTCGGGGAAAAACTTTCCAGCTGCCCTGGGACAGGCGCCCCCAGTGACAGAAAAGTGTATGTCATATTTTCTTCGCCCGCGCTAAGATAAGAGAGGAAGAGGTGTGAGGCAGGAGGCAGGATACTGGGATCGCGCGGGAGGGCGCAATGCCTGCACGCAACCAAGGGAGGAGGCAGGAGGGAACGGAGAGGACGAACGAGCACGCCCGAGGGACGAGAGAGGCGGGAGAAAAGGAGGATGCGCGGGACGTGCGGCAGGAGCGAGCCAGCAGGCTCCGGCGCAGAGTGCTCGAGGCACGAAGCCTTGCCAAGCCTCTGCCGAAGCGGGCCGTAAAGGGCCTCGGATCGGCGGCATCCTCGGCTGTCTGGGGGCGCTGTCCTGCCCGGAGACGCGAGAGAAGGGAGGAGAAAGTGGAAGGATGGAAGGACGGAGGGAAGGGAGGGTGGGTGGATGGGGAAGGGGTCGAGAAGTGAGAGAAGGCGACGAGGACTCGGAGTAGATGGAGCGGGATCATGAAAGAGACGGGGAGGGAGCATGACATGGGAGGTGGGATACGCCCGCACCCAACATGCCCCAGACAACTACTCCCTACGCCACAACCCGCTGACGATCAAGATGGGGTGCGCCTGGCAGAGACGGCATCATCATCATCATCATCATCATCATCATCATCATCATCATCATCATCATCATCATCATCATCATCATCATCATCATCATCATCATCAGCATCATCATCATCATCATCATCCTCATCCTCATCCTCATCCTCATCCTCATCCTCATCCTCATCATCCTCATCATCATCATCAGCATCAGCATCAGCATCAGCATCAGCATCAGCATCAGCATCAACATCAGCATCATCATCATTATCATCATCATCAGCAGCATCATCATCATCATTTCTCAGATTCCTCCTTCACTCTTCCTCCTCCTCCCCTCCTCCTCCTCCCCCTCCTCCTCCTCAAAGTCCTCCAATTCCTCTTCATTCTCCCCCTCATCGTCCGCTTGCTCCACCCCCTCCTCCTCTTCCTCCTCCTCGTCCTCCGCATGATGATCCCCCATCTTCCTCCTCCTTTTTCTCCTGCTCTCCCTCCTCCTCCTACTCCTCCTACTCCTCCTCCTCCTTCTTCTCCTTCCCGCCACCGATAGTCCTCCTCTGGCTAGGAAGACCAACGAAGAATTCCTCGATCCCACCCCAGGTCCTTGCTGGAGCTGAGCCTCCAGCTGGCCGAGGCTGTCGGAGGTGTCGTCAAGATCCCGGAGGGTGGCGTAGATGAGGGCCTCATCCTGAGAGCACCAGGACAAACCGGAGATGGGGAAACCAAAAGGTACCGATACCGCTCTCCTGGGGTGCGTTCTGACCACGATTTCAAGGCGAATCCAACGGTGGCGACGAGGGCCTCCCAGGAGGCCCAAAAAGGGGAAAACGAGGGGAGGGTAGAGGTATGGGTACCTTTTCCTCTTCTGAGAGGGGCGGATAGAGGAAGGAGATAAGCACGGAGCACTCGAGCACTGTCTGACATCCTACCCAATCCACCCATACATGCCCACTGCGCTGATTGTGCCTCTTTCCGCCGACGCGTGTCGAAGCCCGCCTGGAACTCCCCAAAGGAACCCTCATCGTGCCATGCGCAGTCAGAAAAGAGGGGAGCTGCGTGTATTGGAGGAGGAGGTGGCAGACGAGCCGAAGGATGAGCAGGAGAAAAGGAGGAGGAGGAGGAGGAGGAGGAGGAGGAGGAGGAGGAGGAGGAGGGAGGGAGGAGGAGGAGGAGGAGGGAGGAGGAAAGGAGGGGGAGGAAGGAGGAGGGAGGACGAGGACGAACAGTCGCAGCAGCAGGAGCTCCAGCGCAAGGAGCGGGAGAAGCAGGAGGACCAAGACACGGCGGAAGCGGGGGAAGGAGAGGGGCGGTAACGAGGAGAAAGGATTCGGATCCAGAGAAACCATTATGTTGTGGATGCCATGACAATGAACACTCTAACAATCCTCTAATTGAATTAAAGATGTGTTTAAAATGTGTGAAACATGTTCTAGCAAGGTGTCAATCATGGCTCTGACAGATTTGAAACATGTTTGAAACATCTCTGAGACATCAGGAAAGTATTTGGCAGCATGCTTCCTCTCCATAGGTCGTCCTCCACAACCATTATGCATGCCGTTCGGAACGACGGAAACAACGCGCCGATCCTAGAATGCCGCCCCCGCAGCAGCGCGAGCACTACTGCAATTTCGATGGGGAAAAAAGCACGTGGAACACCGGCACATAAAAACGTAGGTGCAAAACCAACGCGCGAACAAGGCGGGAAATCTGCCAGACAGAGTCAGGGAAGACGGGAGAGTAGCATTCATGCTGAGCAACGGTCAAGGGAACAGTGGAGGGAGGGAGGATGCAGATGTCGCAGGCCTAAAAGGCATAACCACATCAGAATGCCCAACACGACGTAGGCTGGCAGGCCCAAAAAGGACCCGAGCCCCGAGCCCCGCAACCGCATGCCAACCACTCTCCTGGGCGTAAGCGGGAGTATGGAGAGGGAAGGGGGCAGGGAATAGAGGAAGGAGGGGGAGAGAAGGAGGCAGGACGGAGGCTAGCGCGGAAGGAGGGGCAGGAGGGATGGAGCTGGGAGGAGGACCTGCCTAGAATCTCTCCACCCCATCGAATACTTTTGAACACCTCCCTCCTGCACCTCCCCAACCTTCCTTCTCCCCCTCCTCCTTCCCTTCATCCCAACTCCTCGTCCCGCGTCCCTCTCCAGTGGGAAGGTGGAGAAGAGAGGAAGACCCGTCTAGAACCAACCACTCAAGCCCAACGAATACTTCTTGAAGCGTTCCTCATCCGTCACGCTCCTCCTTCCCTCCTCCTCCCCCTCCTCTTCCTCCTCCTCCTCCCTCTTCATCCTCTTCCTTCGTCCTCCTCATCCTCCTCCCCATTCCCCCTCCGCATTCCTTCCTCCTCCTCCTCCTCCTCCATCATCCTCTTCGTCCACCCTTCTCCTCCTCATCCTCCTCGTCCTCATCGTCCTCCTCATCCTCCTCCTCAACCTCCTCAGCCTCCTCCTCCTCCACCTCCTCCTTCGTCATCCTCTTCGTTCACCCTTCGCTTTTTCCTTCCCCTCCTGATTCCACTCGTCCTCATCCTCCTGGCACCACCATCAGCCCCCGTATAGCCTGCTAGAACCAACCTGATCGCTTCCTCGTCGTCGCCACCGTCCTCGTCGTCGCACGATCG